TCTACAGTTGTGCCTACAAGCCATATTTTCTCAGTTGAGGTTCCCTCTTCCTACATAACTCTAGTTTTGTCAAGCTGACATAAAACTAGTGAGCACACATGTGATTTTAGGTAAATATGAAATAATGTAATTCCTTATGATATTTCACATAATTTAATGATTTGTTCCTTTCCCTCCCATTCTTTCTATATTGTTTTCTCCCCTATGTTTGCTTACTCCCCTTCGCCATTTTCCCTTTCTTATCACTTGTATCTTGCTATTCTCCTCTCTAGTGCCCCCACCACGGTCTCCTTTTAATTGTCTCATTTCTGTGATGACTTCAGGCTGAATCGTCACACCTGAGGATTTGGAAATAGGAAACACAGGAGAGAGAGGACACGCAGTGTGGACTGTCTGGGTCTAGATGACTTGAACACAAATATCGTTTAGTTCCATCCGCTAGGATTTCATTCCTTCTCCAGCTGAGTAGGATTCCGTCGTGTGCACACTAAAGGACACAAGGTTGTTTCCATTTCCTAGTGACTGTGGGTCGAGTGGCAGTAACTAACATGTCTGAGGAAATATCTGTGCATGTGATGCTGAGTCCTTTGGGCTGTACATGGCTAGGAGTGGTACAGCAGAGTTTGATGGTGGATTTATTCTTTACTTTTTGGGGATTCTCCACCCTGATTTTCAGAGTGGTTTCCACTGGTTTGCAATTCTAGCAGTAGTGAATAAGTGTTCCTCTTTCCCCACACCCTCTTCAGTATTAGTTGTCAGCTGTTTGATTGTGTCCATCCACTCTAATGGTGCAAAATTAAACCTTAAAATAGATTTAATTTTTATTTCCCTAATTGCTAAAATCAAATAAAAAAAATTTAAAGACAATTTCTAGCCAATTTTATTTCTTCTTTTGTTCAGATCCATAGGCAATTTTTAATTAGGCCATTTGTTTTCTTGGCATTTTGAGATATATATATATCTCAAATATATATATATATATATATATATATATGTGTGTGTGTGTGTGTGTGTGTGCTTGTGTGTGTGCATATATATACACATATATATTCTATAATATATGTTGTATACATATATTCTTGCTCAGGATCGTTTTTGTGTGTCCATTGAATTTTAGATGTTATCTTTCAACCTAAGATGTGGGTTTCAGGGAAAGCACACCCATGTGGTTACAAGAAAAACACAGAATGCCAAATAGACAAGACTAGGAAAAACTCCCACCACACACCATGGTTAGAATACTACATCTATAAAACAAAGAAAGAGTATTGACAACTGCAAGAGAAAGTAGCAGGTCACATAAAAAGAAAAACCCACCAGAGTAACAGCTGATATCTCTGCAGAAACTTAGAAAGCCAAAAGAGCCCGGAATAGTGCATTCCAAGTTCTAAAAGACTATGACAGACAACCTAGATTGCTGTACACAGCAAAAATGTCCGCCATAGTTGAAGGAGAAAGAACCTTCAGTGATACAAACAAGCTAAAAGAATCCTTGATCATCTGTTTCTAAGACTCCCTCAGTTTTCTAATTGGATCATTAGCTTTTTCAGTTATGCCTTCATTTCAGCTTAAGTTCTCTTTAATATTTCTATCTATTTATAAAATCATTTTTCAAATCATGTGTGGTCTGCATAGATAGCTTTTTTGGGGGCCTATGCATGGACACAGTGGGGTCAGGGTGGAGGGGCACCACACGACTGAGTACCTTTGTTGTGATCAGCACCCTATTGTTGACGGATCTACTCTGAATTCCAAGTGGCCATGATCAGTCTCCTGTCTATCTACTGCATGTTTTAACTTCTGTGAATGTTCTACCACACACAGACTGCTCAAGTTCAAAGATCTCCAGTGATACAGAATGTTCTACCAGACACAGACTGCTCAAGTTCAAAAGTCTCCAGTGAAACAGAATTGGTTAACGAGAATACCTTTACTTTTTCTGCTTCCAGTTTGAAGAGAAATTTATGGAAACCTCAGAAGATTTGAAAAAGTTAATAAAAGGAGGCACCAAGTGTCTGTATGTCCTCCATGTAGAGAGAAAGGCAACCAATAGCCGACCTCACTGTGATGCCCATGTCCCCAAACAACAACCAGCATGGCAAGATAGACCTAAAGTTCATATCTTGGCAGTCATTGACAGCTATCTAATTGGACTTAAGTCTTCACCAACATGAGGAAAATCATGCCTGATACAGAGAGAATCAGCCAACCATCAGGGCTAGTGAAGCCAGAAATCTTAGAGAAAAACACTACTTCCACCTTCCTAATTCAGTATAAATACTTATTCTTATAACCACAGATAGGTATAACTCTCATGGAAGAGGAGCTGATAAAAATATATATTTTATATTTTTTTGTATGTACCTAACAAAATTTAATTACTACTCTATTGTAACAATGAAAATGTATGTTGAGAAACTATAGAAATAATTAGAATTTTCATAACATCACCTCTCATAAATGAGGCTTCTATTTGCAGATAATTGGGTACCATAACAGAAAGTCACAAAGGATCAAAATGCAGAGAATAACTGACTGTGATTCCCAGGCTCAACTGATAATCTATAACCCAGCTCCCAGACCAAAGGCTCAGGAAAAGGGGCAGAAGGATTATAAGAGCCAAACAGACAGAAGTCTGCTGGGAAATTGTGCCTTCTATGACAGGAAAGGTACACCCATAAAATCTCAACATGGCCGCCTGAACAAGACCTGAGCAATTTCAATACCAATTGGTATCCCAATATAGATAAAGGAAATCTTACGGGTCACACTCATAAATAAAGTACTATAAATAATCAGGATCTGTTACAAGAAAGAGAATGAGGCTTTCTCAGAGATGAGCCCCTTTATTGGATCCAATACCAAGTGGTCAACCCTATTGACATACATGCAGGCAACACTAGACAGATCAGCAGAACATATTTATGTGTATATGTTTATATGTGTGTATATATAACAATGATCACAGAAAAGGAGACTGTGAATTTATGAGAGGTTGGGAGGGGTGCACACCGGAGAGATAGTAGGGAGGAAAGAGAGAGGAGAATGATGTAATTATATTTTATTTAAACTTTAAAAGAAAGATCTCAAAGTGAATACTGGTGAAGGTGTCATACAATGACTCCCTGGGTAACGGCATGGTCTGCCAGACTCACCACCGGAATAATTCCCTGATTCCACAGAGTGGAAGGGGGAATCAACTCCACTAAGTTGCCCTCTGACATTTATGTCTGCACTGTGACATGCATACATGTGTGCACACTCACATGTAAACACATAAGTATAAAAGTAAATGGCTGGTGACAGTATGAGGAAAGAGAAACTCTTGGTGACTGCTTGTGTCTTTACCTGGGCTTTGGTGTCAGGGTCATAGTGTATCATAAAATGAGTTTGGAAACCTCTCTTCCTCTTCTACTCAGGGAACAATTGGGGTATCTGGTGTCAGTTCTCCTTTAAGTACGGTAGATTTCTGCAGTGACTTCATCTGGCTCTGGGCATATTTTAGTTAGGAGTCTTATTATTACTCCTTCAGTCTTGCTGCTGGTTATGAATCAGTTTAAGAACTTTTTCTCAGCTAATTTTTCCACATCATGTCCATTTAGAATTTCACTTAATTCTAAAACTTAGAGGTATTTAAAGTACGTTCTTATGATTTTCTGGATTTCACTAATATCTGCTGTCAATCTGTCTCTTATCATTTTCAAGTATGTTTGTTTGTTGTTGGTATTGTTTGTTTGTTTGGTTTTTTTTTTTTTTTTAGGTTTTTGCTTTTCTTTCGTCACCGTGTTTTCTGGTTTCCTTCATTCAGCCAGAGAGAGCACAGAAGCACTGAGGGTTGGGAGAGAGGATTCCTCCCCACAGAACAATGGTGACTGGGACCCTGGGTGGGACCGCATGTTCTTATAGAGGGACAGAGAATAGAGAGGGTTTAGGACCTTGAAAGGCAAGGGAAATCTGCGTGTTTGTAGCCCACTGTGGACATGACACAGTAGCCCAGACTTTCTAGGGTCATTGATAATATCACTGTACTGACATTTAGCCAACTCTGGAGTTCCCCCAGTTCACTGATGATAGCTGATCCTTCCTACGAAGATATTTTTGAGTTTTCTGATACTTGCAAGTGGAAACATCTCAGGGATCACATCTCCAGGCAAACAGCATCAGGGAATGTGCTTAGAGGATTCTGAGGGGTCAGAGAACAGTGTGGGTCTCTGTTGAAGAGAAGCTGAAGGATGGGGAGTAAGAGATGGGTTAAAACACATTGAAGTGGGAGAGGAGAAGCCCACAGGGATGTCCTCAACTCCCATTCAACCAGAAATTAGAGATTCTTCTGGACAAACATCACTGTGTTCAGCCATGTCTGTGGGTGGAGTCGGGGATTGATGCAGGTTCACAATTTAGACTGTGGGAAGTTCCACAGCCAGCTTGGAAGAGTCATAGCTGCTGCAACTGTCTTTTGGTGACATTTGGTGACCCTCAGACTTTGATAAAGAATAAAAGGCACACAGCCAGGGCTATGTAGTAAGACCCTGTCTCCAAAAGTAAATAAAAAAAAAATAAAAGTCAGAAATATGCAAAGATTCTCTAATGTGTTAAATCTGCTTAAAAGCAACAAAGCTTCTATGCTACCTTGCACCAAACATCTAGTGTTTTCCAAGCCTGGCTTCAGCCTGTCCCTTTAAGACCCCGCATTAACTTTGCTACTGTGGCCTCTTGCTTCATCAGCATTGGCTGTCATCCTCTGGGATCATTTACTAAACTTGAAAAACCTCTGATGTTAATGACCTGGGACTTTGAGTTCCAGTGTCTGTTAAAATTTGACACACAGTTTGCTTTGGATTGCTCTTTGACTAATAAATATACTCTATCATGACTCGACTACTTCTTTGGTGAAATTCTGCCTGATCAGTCTCTTTCAGAATTTTGAGCACTCCCTCGACTCCATGACCTGCTGACTCCCACCATAGGGTCCAGGAGCTTGTGGAGACCCAAATATGTGAGCCTATGCCACCTTGTCTGAAGGTCAGAGAGTTTGAGTTTATTTTGCTTGCTCAAAGTTGTAGACAACAAATTTGGCCACACACCCTGTCCTAGGGTTGGCTACCTGGTGTTTGGACATTAAGATGGCCCATAGAGGTAGATCCTCTCCATCCTGAACAAAGATCAGAGAATTCAAGCATCCTTCTGCTCCTTCTCTTGAAATAGGAGTTTTGACTTGGGAATGGCTGCCTGCAGGATACTTGGCCTAAGGTATCTTCACTGTACCAACCAACATACGCTTGACTCAGGAATTAATGGCTCAAAGTATTGGTGCAAGTGACTGTTAAGGTTGTCTTTTGTATCCTGGTAAAGCAGTCTTTTGCCTTCTCACTGCCCTTTTGTATTGGGTATAAAAGTCTATGGAAAATTATCCACGGATGAACTCAGAATGCTGAACTCAGTATGCAGCGGCACTGAGGTGCCTTCCCAACATGATCCTGGGTCTCTGTGTTTCTTTCTTATCTCTGTTCCTCTTACTTAACATTTCCAATCCTCATGCTCCTACAAGGAATGTCAAACTGCCACGGTTGATTAAAATATAGAGCATCTTTTATACAATTGTTTGGGGAGAAATGCAACAAAGTCAGCAGGGGGCTAATCAATGACGTCACACAAAGGGAACACAGGGTTTCTCAAGATCATTACAGACATAGCACACAGTGGCCTTGGGACTGATAACGCCAGTCTCTTCAGGAGGAGCAGCCACGTTCCCAGAAACCAAAACCTTGACTCCTTCGAGGCCCAGGCTTCCTCCCCACATTAGACTTGCCAAGTCCACTCCTGAGCAAGGGCACAGAACTAGGTTCCTTTTGTCCTCTCACTGGTGTCTCTAAAAAGCCTTAGATTGGTAGACTGTCACCAAGGCCCAAGACATGCTTCAAAAACTTGGCTAGTACTCTTCAGAAGCAAAAATGAGTAAGAGGCAAAGAGAGAGAGGCTCAGAGTGAGATGACACAGGGGTGTTGGTGTCCACAAGCTGTCACGGTGGGGATAAATATTTGGGGATTTTAAGCCTTTGAATTTCTCTTTCCATGTTGGCTCTACCCCAGGCTCTTGGGAGCATGCCAGAACAAATATTCCATCCAAGCCACACTCCCAGCCCTGTAAACCTTTATCCAGCCCAAGTTATTTTAAAGAACAAATTTGTAGAATACATTTGATTTTTATTAGAGATAATGTTCAGGATTTGCATCAAAGAACTTTTACATTTGTTATTTCAGAGGTGGGCACATGATGGGCCACTAGAATGTCCTTTCTATACATGCACACCATATATATATATATATATATATATATATATATATATATATATATATACATTTCAAACACTAAAGAAAAGTTGGTCACTCACTCACAGAGACTTTCCAGTGTGCTGTGCACTTGGCTAGCCTTGGGAACTCAGAACCAAGCCCTGGAGAGCTCCTAGCTCAGGGCTTCGTGCTGTCTGGACAGGGACCTGATGGGGGAGCCCAGAATGTGGATGGAGAGGGGCAGGCCCAGCTGAAGCAATGGTGAATGCAGAGCCTGGGCTGCAGAAAGACTAAAGTGCAGGCAGGCTAGAAGAACAGGGACATGGTCCCAGGAACATGGCACCACAGGCATACAGTGGAGGGAGGGCTCCCTTCCTTTCAGGGCATTGACAATGGACTCACTTTAGAGGCAACAGCACCCTCAGCAGAGCTACTGACTCAGCCCTTGCTGTGCACTTGAGATCTCCAGTTCTCTCCAGCAAGTCTCCACAGTGCTCTCCTGGGACACTCGCCTTCCCCACAGGTTTTATTTCTTCCTCTGTCACGAGCTCACTGCCAGTGACATGCACTCTTTCATGAGCAGTGTCAGACACAACTCTTCCCTGGAACTGACTGACACACAGACGTGAGACCCTGTGCTGTGCACATGCGCATCACCCTGGAGGGCAGCACTGCTGCTTTGCCAGCTGTTTGTAGAGCAGTGGAGTGAATTCTACAGCTGAGGAGAAATTAGCAGTGCACACCAGGATACAAAGGGGCCAGCCCTGGACACTGGAGGGTGTGCAGACTCAGGCAGTGACATGCAACTCTGAAGCCACCGAGGTCAGCATACGAGACCTATGGACCAGTGATTATAACTAAAATCACAAGTTAACTTGCTGGTTTGTGAGTGAAGTAAGTGCCAGATGCCCTTGTTTGTGGATAAGAGCTCTGAGTGTGAACTTGGCAGGAATTAACCGTAATTCTCACTGTCTTGTAATGCCATTGCTAATGGTGACATGACAGCTTCCCCACAGCAGGAACTGCAGGGATGCACAGATGCACAGAGACCCAGAGCATGCTGGGACAGTGTGCTGATTGCCATCCAGGTGAAGGTAAGTGTGAATTATGAAATTCCTTTCTGCCCTTCAGCTCCAGATTAAAACAGGACAAAGGTTAAGACAAATATTCTATTACAGGACATTAGCATTCTCATCAGATACAGTAAGCAGGGGACATTGTAAACTAAACTTCAACTTAGCCTTGAAGTGAGGCAATGTGTTAATTGTGTAATTTAAGGCTAATTCAGAAACTTTCCCCAAATTCAGTAGATGTAAGTCTCATCTTATCATAGCTGAGGGTTCCGTGGTTGACTCTGTGACACCATTCATGCTTCTAGCTCAGTACTCCCTCCCTTGTTTCTTCTGTCCTGAGCAATGTGCTTCATTGGGGTTGTTCACAGGAACAGGCATGAGAGGTCACTTAGAGACACAGGAGCATTAAACCAATGAAAACACTCAAGGATCCAGATCTTCCGGAGAGGGTGGTGGCTTGTGAGCCCCTCCCTGATTTGTCAGCTTCCTAGTCTTTCAAGAAACTCTGGAATCTTAAACTCAGTGAGAGTCAGTGGGAGTGGCTCTGGGTCCCCACTGCTTTGGTAAGAAAGGGCACCTTATTAAAGTAGCTCCCACTCTCATCTGGAGCAGGAGCTGGGGAGCTGAGCAGAGCAGCCATCTGGACTCTCACTAGGTCAGTTCTCTCTCTTATAACCTGTGTAACAAGTTCCATGTCTGCATCAGTGAAAAACAGCTTTTCCAGGTTCTATTTAGCATGCATTAATTGTACAAAAGAGCTGGTTTTATTATGCAATTTCCATATATATATATATATATATATATATATAATTTTATCATATTCACTGGTAGGTACTACTGATTTTGTCTGTGTTTGATTCTGGTTCATCTGAATTATTTTGTTACAGAATGTTGAATAGCAAGCTATTTCTCCTCCTCTCTTCCTTCTCTCTTTCTGTCATCCATCCCCTCCTCCATTCCTCCTTAGCCATTTCTCCCTCGTTCCTCTGTCCTGGTCTTCATTCTTCCCTTCTTCTGTCCCTTCCTTTCTCCTCCTCCTCCAGTGTCACTGAGCTAAAGAGTGGGGTTTAAGGTATTTACAAGGGAATCTAAACACATGGATTTAGGACACTGAGGAGTAGACTTGGATTGTGCTCTCAGGCAAACCTGAGATCAATAACGTTCTACTTTTGAACTGTGTTCCAGTCTCACAGAGAACGTGCAGATTCCTCTCACTTGAGAACTTGAATTCACCCAGACTGTCCCAGGCCTCCCTCCCCAAGCCCTTCCTTCCCCAGTTTGGATTTCTACCCCATTTGTTTGTGTCCTGTGGATTCTGATTGCTTTGATGATTCCATGTAAATAGGAGAGTAGCAGATTTCATACTTAGGATTTGTTACTTTATTACTATCTTATTATTTAATTACAAACAACACAACCTGTTTTTAGATGGTAATCCCAAGAAAGAGAATTGAAAAAAAAAGTGTGAATCTTGAACTATTGAACCATGAAATGTCCGAGGAATGTAGACTGAACCTTGCATCGTACACCAGAGAGAAGATTGTTTGCATATTTCTTCTGTGATCACAGCTGTGTGTATGAGGAAGTGTGTGCGACACCAGAAAACAGTTTAAAATTCTGTAGGAAGACATGGCAGGAAGAAATGAGTCTGTAGAGGAACGAGGCTAAACCCAAACTCTGACGCTCAGCTGTTATACGGCCAACCCTTGCTAAGGTTCAAAGCGTTCATCACTAATCTGGAGAAGACCAGCCGACTCTGAGACAGTGTGCAGCTCTAAAACCGGGCGGTTATCCCATGCTTTTTCAGTCATAGTCCAGCTGGCCTTGGTGAGCTCCCAATAGATCAGCCCCACTGTCTCAGTGGGTGGGTGCACCCCTCATGGTCCTGACTTCCTTGCTCATGTTCTCCCTCCTTCTGTTCTTCATTCGTACCTTGGGAGCTCAGTCCGATGCTCCACTGTGGGTCTCTGTCTCTATCTCCATCCATCGCCAGATGAAGGTTCTATGGTGATATGCAAGATATTCATTAGTATGGCTATAGGATAGGGTCATTTCAGGTTCCCTATCCTCAGCTGCCCAAGGAGCTAACTGGGGACATTGCCCTGGGCACCTGGGAGCCCCTCCAAGCTCAAGTCTCTTGCCAACCCTAAGATGGCTCCCTTAATTAAGATATGTGATTCCCTGCTCCTCTATCCAACCTTCCTTTCTCCCAATCATCCCGTTTCCCCAAGTTCCCCCCATTCTCCCCTTCTTACTTTTCTCTCCCCATCTCCCTTTACCCCCGTCCCACCCCACCCCCAAGTTCTCAACTTTTTGCCCGGCAAGCTCACCAAGGCCAGCTGGACTATGACTGAAAAAGCATGGAATAAAACCGGACTCTTTGAACATGGAGGACAATGAGGGCTGATGAGAAGCCAAAGTCAATGGCACTGGGTTTTGATCCTACTTCATGTTCTGGCTTTGTGGGAGCCTAGCCAGTATGGATGTTTACCTTCCTAGACCTGGATGGAGTGGGGAGGACCTTGGACTTTCCACAGGGCAGGGAACCCTGACTGCTCTTCGGACTGGAGAGGGAGGGGGAGAGGAGTGGGGGGAGGAGGAGAAGAGTGGGAGGAAGGGGAGGGAAATGGGAGGCTGGGAGGAGGCGGGAATTTCTTTTTTTCTTTCAATAAAAAAAAGAAAAAAAAGATAAAACCGGGAGGTTAGAGGTTCTGCAGTATGGGGAGGGATCTGAAAGCCTCAGCATTTCAGAGTCTCAGTGAAGTCCCAGTATTGGACATTCCAGGGCAAAGGAGAGTTCATGGAGAAAACAGAGAAAAGCAAACAGAAAGACAAAAAGAACAGAGCATTATACAGTGCTGTAGGAAACTGCCAGGTGCCCAAGAGAAGCAGCTGTGACCTGAGGGCAGGGAGGCCAATGTCTGAGGGGTCAGAATGTTGCTAAGGCCTGGTGATGCTGAACTGGTAGGAGGAGCCCACAGCCCTGGAGACCTGATGTCTTCTTGTAGCCTTCCTAGCCACTTCAGCCATGGGCACTTACACACACACATACACACACACACACACACACACACACTCACACACACACACACACACACACTCACACACACACACACTCACACACACACCAATGTACACACACACACACTAAAGTGCACATACACACTCACACACTCATACACACCAATGCACACACACACACTAAAGCGCATACAGATACACTAATGTGCGCGCGCACACACACTCATCCACACATAGAGTCATTTTAAAATACAGACTCTGAAATTTCCTGTTATATCACAAATTAAAGACATTGCCCATGGTCAGGTGGTGGTGGTGCACGCCTTTAATCCCAGCACTCGGGAGGCAGAGGTAGGCTGATCTCTGTGAGTTTGAGGCCAGCCTGGTGTATAAGAACTAGTTCCAGGACAGCCAGGGCTACCCAGAGAAACCCCGTCTCAAAAAACCAAAAAAAAAAAAAAAAAAAAAGACCCCATGATCAATGATGTTGACTTACAGCCCATTGAGTAGCAGGACCCAGTATGTGGGTTCCCTGTGCAGGAACTGAGCTGCATTCGCCAGGGTTTCCTCATCACGTTACTGTCTGGACACCTATTTCTCCTGTAGACTGGAAACAGTGGCAGCTCCTCATCTGCAAACTCTGTGGTGATTACATGCAGTTCACATGAGCAACTGCCCGTTATGTGCTGTGCACCAAAGGCAGTGACTCCCTGTGATATGAAGTTGATGCATCAACTACCGCCTTCAGGACCCTAGAACAGGATCCAGTCTAGCAGTGGGAAACAACCTGCAACCAAGAGATGGGCCCTTCTCCTGTGGGGAGAACAAGGGTTTGGCACAGCCAGGGTGACATGAAGCCATCAAAAGCTTCTGAACTTAGCAACCCAGGAGCCAAAAGACTGGGGAGGATCTTTTTCTCATCCCTTCCATGATGGTCTGCTTTCCGAAACTCAACAGGCTCCCAGTCCTTCACCACTATAGCTCTGGGATGCTCTGTCTATGTCCTCAAAGTGAAGGCACATGACCAGCTGAGACCTGTTTGGTGCAATTGCTGGTTGGCGCTCATTGACGGGTGAGAGATTAGTCAGTAGACCTTCCTGGGCCCCTGCAAAAGAAGGCAGATGGCCCTTCCCTAGTGCTGTGTTACTGACCATATCCCAGAGCTCAGTCCCCTAGGACTGATCTCTTTGCTTTCCATTCACAGTGAAACCACAGCTGCAGCCATGGCTGGGAAGCCCGTGCTTCACTACTGGAATGCCAGGGGCAGGATGGAGTGCATCAGGTGGCTCCTGGCTGCAGCAGGGGTGGAGGTAGGTTGTGCATTGCTCTTCTGGAATAGGACCTAAGATAAGTCTAAATACTTCTCTAAGGTGAGAGGCTCCACATCAGGAAATGTATACAATTTTGCCTTAAATCGTAGTTGTCTTGGTGTCCATCGTGCTCCCAAGACCAATATGGCCAGGACTATAATCATGCCTACAGTCAACCCCTATAGCTAGTATGCCCAGTGTTCAACCAGGCCACACTCTACAGAAGCCCAGTGCCTGTGGGAGACAATGGGAACATGCCCAATGTGCTCAGCCAGCACCGGGACCTTCAGAGCCCAACCCTGGACTGGTTGAAGAACCGGTAAATACACCTCTTAATGGAAGAAGCCCCCTTTCCTGTTGCTCTCCCAATAAAACTGTGAACATCAACCTCATAAAAAATGATAGTCGTCTTGTATTAAGAAGGAAATAGACTGATTTGAACCTGTGAAAATTTTACTTCATTCTATATCAAAGAACATATTCACATTAAAAGATGCTTTGAGTAGAAAAAGAATCAAATACGTATTTGGTTACTTGCTTGCTTGAGTTGAATCAGGTTACAAAAAAAGATCTACAGAAATAGGGACTTGAATATTGATGAATAGGCAATGCTAATTGAGTATTGTAGATTATGGTATGGTATTTTAATTTAAGGGGTGACACTGATTTTCACCCTTTCATCATTGAAAAATTTCTTTAAACTTTTTTAAACCGTGAAAGGGAAAAAGTGGTTGAAACGACTTTAGACAGCTGGAGAGATGGCTGGTTGCCAAAGGGTTAACCACACAGGTCCAGATCCCAGGAAACCATACAAAAGGCCAGAGTAGATTGTCATTCGGTATGTGCACCCTCACACAAACATGTCATTTTCATAAAATTTTAAAAACACAATCATAGTCTCTCAAAGGAATCAACTTTGATGTGGGGCTAGGGTAATGACTTGGCTGTTTAGAGCTCTTATTGCACAGGAGGACAACCTATTACGGTTCCCAGCATCCACATATGATAGCTAATAACTGCCCATCACTGCATCTCCAACTGAATCTCTAACCTCTGGCCTCCATGAAATCTGACCTCCAAGATGGATGTAATCACATGTATGAGACCACACACAAACACTTGAAATTAATAAATCTAAATCCTGTAAATAAAAACCCAGGTGATCATGGGGACTATGCAATGGCCATAATGAAGACGTAGAAACTTCTATTCTATATCATTAGAGTTGGCTTTCCTGAGAGCCCAAAACCTCAATCTCCCAGTGCTGGCCCTCTAGTGAAATCACTCTCTTCTTAGGACTGAAGCATGAACATGGTGGGTCAGGGTGGAGGAACACTACAGTAATGAGCAGCGTGTAATGATGAACACCTTTGCTTGATGGGTTTACTCTGAATTTCCTTGTGGTCACGGTCAGATCCTTCATATCTACTGCAAGTCTCAACTCAGGCAGACACAATACCAACAAGGGAGCTCTCAAGTTCAAAAGTCTACAGTGATACAGAATGAGCTAATGAGAATGCATTCACTTTTTCTGCTTCCAGTTTGAAGAGAAGTTTATAGAAGTCCCGGCAGAGATGGAAAAGTTAATCAAAGGTAACACCAAGTGTCGCTATGTGGTGCCTACTAGAAGGTTTACCAGAAGGTGATGTTGGCGGGTGATGTTAGCAGGTGATGGGTGGGAACAGTCAGGAACGGCAGAGGGATGTGATGGAGGTGGTGGGGCTCCTTGAAGGGTCTGAAAATGGAGACAGTGATAAAAGTGGGAAGCAGATTTCCACAAGAATTTGTCTGGGGACTTGGGAATAAATGTTTTCTCACTCTTTCTGCATCAGAGTGAGCAATTTCATTCAAGCTCCCTCTCACTGACTTATTCAGGCAGGGTTTCACCCACAAGGTCCAATAACCACACAGGTACATGGCCATTGATTAAATCACAGGAGGAAAAACAGCTGGCATGATTTTCTTGAGTATTTTCATCATAGCTACTGATGAGTCACTATCACCACACAAGAACAGGCTGAAGAACTCATGGTGGCTCACTGCATAAGAAAATGTCAGACATCACCTTAATATCATGATGATGAGATTGTCAAGCATACTAGTTCTGCTTTCATGGAGGCCTCTGCTGTCCCTCCTCTTCTTCCACATGTATCCAGGGACATGAACTGACATGAAAACATGCACTAGAAATATAATATGTGTCTGGATAGGAAATAAAGATGGATGTGAGAAGCTCCAAAGTCAGAGGAAGATGGGTGAGACAGAGAGGAAACAGAAGCTAAAAGTAAGTGAGGTTCAGCTTGCAAAACTAAGAGCCAATTATTTATCTTTTGTTTATATGATCAGACACTTCAATACAACATTTTCTGCTCCTAAGAAGTGAGACTTGGACACCTCACAGACCTTTTTCCTTTCTTCTTTCAAAGATGGGAGTTTGATGTTTCAGCAAGTGCCCATGGTGGAGATTGACGGGATGAAGCTGGTACAGACCAGAGCCATTCTCAACTACATTGCCACCAAATACGACCTCTATGGGAAGGACGCGAAGGAGAGAGCCCTGTACGGTATATTTCCTGTTATTACTCCAAGGGGAAAACAAAGGAAGGATTTGGGTCCCTCCATGAATGAGCAAGAGGGTGGCAGGGTTTATGTCTAGGAGCAGGCTGATTATTTCACTTAGGCCAAGTATGGAAGAGTCCATGTCGGAGAGGGAAGGGCACATGGGGCGGATGAGGGTGAATGTGACTACAGCCAAGGATGATGTTGTCAGCATAGCACAGGGACAGAATCGCAAACACAGTGTCCAAGGATCTGAGCATAGGGGAGCCATGACTCCTGGTGCTCAAGGCTTCAGTGCTGGACCTCAGTCAAAAGCTTAGGGCAAGGACACAGGGCTTGAGGCTGCAGGAGGCGTCCTAGGGAGGAGGGTGAAGGAGCTGCCTCCCACGTCCCAGGAGTAGGAACAGTGAGGAGCAAGCATCTCAGTTCCCAGCCAGTTGTATGGACTGCTCAACAGAATGAGGCTTAGAGAGATCAGTTCCCGAGTGCCAAGATTACCTGAAGCATTTAATTCAGGACTAAAACAGCCAGGCTGACTGTACCACCCTTGCTGGAACCCACTCTTATTGACAAAATCCTTCACTCATAAACCACTGTGTAGGAGTATTGCATTTGATCAAAAGTTAAACGTGGTGCTAGCTATAAACATTAGTGCAGGAAACATATGTCCATGGGAGACAGAGACTTACTTGTAACAGTACTTGTATAGAAATATTTCTAGAGGTATTGTTTTTAATTTTCTCATGGTAGATTAGCCATGATATTCAATAAAAGATGAAAGAGGAGCGCAGCGTATGATTTTAGCCATGAACAGACATGAAGGGGTGAGGGGAGCAAAACAAAGTAAAGTGTCAACATTGAATTGTAACTTCTGACAATCTTTGCATGGTTGTTGAGAGCAAATATGTCAAGAGAGACAGAAAGAGAGAGGGGGACAGAGGGAGAGAGAGAAGAAAAGAGAGAAAGCCTGCTGTACAGTTTGATGGTTATCTTCTGGGATGCCACCAAGTATATCACAAATTCATCTCTAGATGGGCCAGTGATGCTCTTTGTCCTGGGTTCGGCCATGTGTGTGTAAAAATATTCTAACACAGTATCTAAACTGTACTCGAGGGAAGGTTAATATTTCTATTAAATATAAAAGATAATGACCCACTATAGGTGAGTAATTTTGCAACCACTTTTCAATGTAAATTTCTTGGGTTTTTAGAATAAAATGTAAAATAGGGAACCTTTGTGAATCCTCAACCATTTGGATAATTTTGTCTTTCAGGATTGACATGTATACAGAGGGGATTTTAGATCTCACTGAGATGATGCTGCAAGTGGTCATAAGTCTCCCAGACCAAAGAGAAGGCAAGATCTCCTTGTTAAAAGAAAAGACCAAAAACCGGTACTTGCCTGCCTATGAAAAAGTAAGTAGGCTGTTTGAAGTCTGGGGATACTGAGTTCCCAGGACAAGAGAAAGGCAGAGGTTAGGAAGGACAGGGTGCTGCCTCAGTGACCTTCCATGAGCCTCCCTTGCAGCTCCCTGCCCACAGGGCGCTGTATACAAACAGCCTATAAAGGAGCACTGCATGGTCACGCCAATCTAGTGGTCCACATTCAACAGGGTTCAAGGCCATAACCAGACCTGATCTGTGTAAGGCTGAGCCACACCAGAGATGGACCTAGATCCTGCAGACATACTGGGCTTCAATTCCAGGGCAAACTGCAGAAAACACAGATGGGAAAATATTCAGTCTCATCACACAGGGAGGCCAGAGAACCACTGGCTGTCAGGAGAAGAGGAGAGACCTTCAAAGACAGAGGAGAAGAACCTGACCTAGGACAGTGATGCAACGGGGAGGAGGAGGCTGATGAAGAGATGTAAAGGAACACTGGCCTGCAGGAGTTAGGGTCACAGATGGCAGGCTTGGGAGGAGAGCCATGCACATCCACACATGAAGGGGTGTCCGTGTACATGTAGTGTCTCTCTTAGTCGGGGCTTCTCTTTGGAGGAAGATCAAGAACACATCAGACTGACTTGATCTGTCAAGCAAAAGCTATGAAAAAGCTGTGATCCTAGAGAATGCGGGATCCTACACATTCCTCAGAGATCCGACTTTGACCCCATTATAATTCACTGAACGTTCCCTCATGGCTGCCTCTGCTCTGTGGAAGCAGGGAGGGATTTAGGAGCCATCAGGTCCCCATACTGCGCTCTGGAGACAAGGCCCTGTCTCACAGGACACAATGTCCAGCCATCACCACTGAATTATCTCTGTGTGAATCACGAACCAGGCACATAGTGAACTCTGTACTGAGAACATTTGATGCTTCTTTTGTAGTTTTAAGTTTCCATCTTCCTTCCTTTTTTTCTTTTTCTTTACAACAGGATTTCTCTATTAGGCTCTCCTGGAACTTTCTCTGTTTACTGAACTCAAGCTCACAGAGATCCACCTGCCTCAGCATCTTGAGTGCTTGAATTAAATGTGTGTGCTATTATGCCTGGCCTTCTTTGTTTCTGAATGTGGTCATTATATTTTTTCTGAGTGGACGTGTACACTGTGATAAGGTGACCACAAAGCATTTTAATTCTTCTCTACTTGTAGCTCATGCTGTAGCCAGTGCTTGTGCATTAGGTTATCTGTGATTTTCATATTGCTTGGATATTTAAGTAAATGTCATAAACTGTATCTGAGACAGTGCTATTATTAAATCTCTCACAACCATAAATGTTGAAATAAATGTTAAATAAATAGCCAAAATCAGATAGGAAGATTAGCCCCGCATGGTGTTGGCATGCTCGTCTATCCATACAAAGATACTTAGAGACTCTGACTCAGTTCTTCCTGTACAATTCAGCCCCATGAGTCATGACGGAGTGAAGGTTGGGAGTCAGAGCCGATGCTGTACAGGGAGGTTGTATTGTAGTTCAGCCAGGTGTATTTCAGATTCCAGAGAACTGAGGAGAACAGACACAGGAGAGGACAGACACAGGGCGTTCTCTGGTGACTGATGTTCCCTGCAGATGAGGCCTCTGCCCACGGGACTGAACAGACAGGACGGGGAGAGGAATGTCCTGAACTCCCGGTGTGCTGTCATTTCAAACTTAGGGGAGGAGCCATGATGTGCAAGGGGCTAAGCCCTTATCCCATGTGGAAAATGTACATAGGGTGGCGGTGTGAATGCCATGGGAAGTGCAATGACAGAGAAAGGTCACCTGAGCTTTAGCGAGGAGGTCGTGTACCTGATTCTCATGCTGCCTCTTGCATCATAGGCCCGTGTCTGCCATTGTAACCTGCCAGGAAGAGTCAGAGACTCCATTGGGAGACTTGGGAAAGAGGAGTGGCCCCAGCCCAACTGTGTATTTTCATAATCTGTCTCCTTTAATTTGGCAGGTCTTGAAGAGCCACGGACAAGACTACCTTGTTGGCAACAGGCTGACCAGGGTGGACATTCACCTTCTGGAAGTTCTCCTCTATGTCGAAGAGCTTGACTCCAGCCTTCTGGACCCTTTCCCCCTGCTGAAGGTGAGATCACCTCGGAGAGGCAGCCACACACTCATGCCTCTGAGAATATAATAATAATATAATATAATATAATATAATATAATATAATATAATGTATGCCTCTGGGCTGCTGAGGGCCCACGCTTTGGCCTCCAAACTGAGCTACTCGACACAGGTTTCAGGCATAAAAATAATCTTTTTGTGTATGAAGATTTGAGGCTAGTACCTCAAGAACGATATATTTTTGCACTGAGAAAGACGCAGGACCCCACAGCTCTCTGCCACACCCCTGTCCCTTACAGGCTGCTTCCGGTCTTCATCTTCCATGTCATGTGGTCTGTCTCTGGACACTCAGTGTCTGAGCAGGACTCTGTCATGCTGACCCCTTCCACTGCTCTGACTCCTCAGCACTGTGCATTCCTCTCCATGGTTCCCACCATGCTGTCTCCCCCCCAGCCCCACCCTCAGTGACCCCATCCTTATTTCCAGTGTGAAAACTGACTGTGAGTTATTCCTGGTCAGACTTTGATGTTTTCTGCTCCCATTTCCAACTCAGTTTTTCACATCTTCACTTTCTTTGGTAGTCTCTGCTTTCACACCCGAGACACACTGCTCTGTGCTCTGCACCACACTCTGTACAGGATGTGTCCAGGGGCCTGAGGAGAAGATAATTGGCTGTCAAAGGAGGTCTTAAGGAAATTATGCTGAGCTATGCTTTCTAGCTCATGGATTTGTCGTTCTTCTCATGTCTATTCTGGACTTGTTGCAAGATACAGTAGGTTGTGTTCTGGGAGGGTTCTGCTCGTTTGGACGGTGTACATGAGCAGTTCTGACTCTCAGGCTGTGTTTTCTGGATTACAGGCCCTGAAGAGCAGAATCAGCAGCCTGCCCAATGTGAAGAAGTTCCTGCAGCCTGGCAGCCAGAGAAAGCCTCCGCCTGATATGAAAAAAATTGAAGAGGCAAGGAAGCTTTTCAAGTTTTAATAAAGCTGCAGTGACAGAGCCCACAGACACCAGTCGCTGATGTCATTAAATAATAAAGAGCAATTGTCCATCTTGGTTCTTGTGATATAATAAATATCATCTAATGGTATGTGTATCTCATGCCTTCCACCTGTTGAGCTGGGATTTCAAACATCACTTAGGAGGAAAAAGACAAACAATAATCACTACAAATAAAAGCAAAGCTTGTAAAAGTGAGGAAAAATTAAATAAAAAGAACAAACAAAACGAAAAAAGTGACTAACAACATTGTAGAATTACTCAAAATGTATAAAAGTAAAATTAATCTACAAAAGAAAGATATTAAAAGAAAAATGGGAAAAAATAAAGAAGAAAAGAAAGATGTAGGAAAAGAAAGACTTCAAGTCGAGGGAGCAAGAATTGGGTAACTAATGAAAGGATTTTTTAAAGGAAAAAAAATAACAGAGAAAACAAAATTAAAAATTTAAATTAGTGATGGAGATCCTGGAGAGCTGGCTGAGAGGTGATAGGCACAACTGCTTTTGCAGAGGTAAGGGTAAGGGTAAGGGCCCAGCATCTACAGGACATCTCAGGATCATCTGTCACTCCAGCTCCAGAGAACCTGATGTCCTCCTCTTGCTTCTGTGCTCACTAACACCCGTGATACACATACATACCAGTAGGCAAAACACCTCAACACACAAAATAAAAATTTAAATTATTTTAATGGCAAAAGTAAAAAAAAAAGGAAAATACACATTCCAGCAAAATAACAATAACAAAAAATTTCCTTGAAATACCTCTGCTTTAGCTAGGTGTGGTGGTGCAGGTCTTTAATCCTAGCCCTTAGGAGACAAGGACCTCTGTGAGTTTGATGTCAGCCTGGTCTATATGATGAGTTCCAGGACAGCCAGAGCTACAGAATTGTGATGCCCTCTCTCAAAAAAAACAGAAGAATATTCTGTCCTTGCCCCCACTGGAACCCCCTGACTTTACTTTTTCCATGCAATATCAAATATCCAGGCCCAGTCCAGTCCTGAACATTTTCTATTGAGGTCTAGCCTGGTGGGTCCTTCTGTTCCTATTCTCTGCATACCTCCCCTTCCTCAGGTCTAGCCTGGGCTTCACACCATTGCCCTGGTGTATTCTGGTGAGCTCCACTTCCACTGCCATCAACCTCCAGGTCAGGCCAGCACGCACATCTGCACACAGGTCAGACTCTCCCCAGCTGTGGGGGGGCACAGAGGCTCTTGTGCTCCCAGATAAACTCTAGGGAACCAGGAATGCTAAACACATAGGCTTGTCTCTTCAAAGAGAGGGAGGCATTACCTGTTTCCCACCTAGGAGGCTGGGAAACATTGTGGTTAACAGCCTGGTGACCTTTGAGCTATCTGTGTATCGAAGATCACACCGGATCCTCTACCAGAATCTTATCATGAGCTTGTCAATCTATAGAACCCATGTTTAGGGAAGATGTCACTTGTTCTTTACAAAGAGTATTGGTGTAGTCTTGTCTTATGCTTTAGTGTGTTCAGGGGTTGAAGTTTATCACAAGGATTTTTTTCAGCAAATTGTGCTGTGCTTAAGTATGCCTAAAATAAACTACTCAGGGTCAGACTCCCTTCGTCCCTCCTGTGGGTTCTTACTCTGCTGGTTATGGTGGTGATAGAGACCCCCACACCCAAACCCCTTCTATCCCCTGATCCATCCTTCCCACACCATATCCACTGTCCGGTCTGAGCCATTCCCACACATTCTGTGCTTTGTGCCAGCCTGCCATGTCCACATCAGACACAGATCAACAAAAGAAGTCTATACACCCAGTTCCCATGGAAAACAATACAAGCAATATGAAAGATGAAGGCAGTATCTTCTCCAAACCAAACCTACCAGTATTACAAAAAGCTCTCCAATAAGAATAAACCCCGGATCACAGACATTCTTAATACAGAAATTACAGATTTCACCAAAGAATTCTGGGTATTTAGAGAAGAAACAAAGAAACAAGTCAATAAATTTAAAGATAATAAATGTTTGGGTGATGCCCAACATAACACAATCATAAGACTGATGGAAATAATGAAGACAACCCAGGATTTAAAAAATGAGATTTAAAACAAGAGAGATAGTAATATTGAAGAGAGTTCAAACTGAAGTGAAGGCAGAACTGAAAATCTTAATGATAAAAATTGGAAAATTGAGGGGAAAGTCTCACAAACATAATGGGTCAAGTAGAAGAAACTTTATCAGGCCTCAAAGATAAAGTATAGTGAAGAGATGACACAAAAATATAAAATTAAAAATACATAAGAGAAACATTCCTGAAATGTGGGACACCATGAATATACTAACTGTTATTTATGGGTACAGGTGAAAGAGAAGAATCCCAGGTCAATGGCATAGACAAGTACTCCAATAAAGGCAGACACAAGTGGCAGTGACCGGCGCGCAACACCTAGAGCAGATCGCCCCACTACAATTAAATCAAAGAGATAGACCTTTTGTTGGCAAGGTCCCTGGCAAACGGGGAGCCTGGTCCTGTTCTTAGAGACCCTTCTGAGTGGTGAGAGGGATCTTGGCCCTCAGCAGGAGCCAGGAAATGGAGCGAGGGCATTTTGTAAGAGGAGCCCCTGGCCAGCAGGGAAACCTGATCCAGTTTTAAAAGACCCATTAGATAGCATTGATAGGAGGAGATGGGCAGGCGCCAAGGCAAGAATTCACCCAACAATCTGAAAAACAACATGAAAACACCAGAACCCAATGATCTTACAACAGAAGGACTTGAATACCCTAACATAGAAGAAGTAGAACAAATTGACTTTATGAAAACAATAGAGTCCCTTAAACAACATGTAAAAAAACCCTTATAGAAATGGATGAAAAGAGCCTAGGCAGTTTGGATGCTCACCTTACTAGACCTGGATGGAGGTGGGTGGTCCTTAGACTTCCCACAGGGCAGGGAACCCTGATTGCTCTTCGAGCTGATGAGGGAGGGGAACTTGATCGGGGGAGGGGGAGGGAAATGGGAGGCGGTGGCGGGGAGGAGGCAGAAATCTATAATAAATAAATAAATAAATTAAAAAACAAAACAAACAAACAAAAAAGAGAAATGGATGAAAAGTATAACAAAAAGTTTGAAGAAATGAGTAAATACGTACATGATACCCTGGGAAACCAAGAAAAAACGATCAAACAGGTAATGGAAACAGTTCAAGAATTGAAAACTGAAATGGAAGCAAGGAAGAAAACACAAACTGAGGACCAGCTGGATATGGAAAATCTAGGTCAATGAGCAGAGTCTACAGAAACAAGCATAATCTATAGAATACAAGAGATAGAAGAAAGAATTTCAGATTCTGAGGACACCATAGAGAAAATAAACACACTGATCAAAGAAAACAGCAAAGCCAACAAATTCTCATCACAAAACATTCAGGAAATATGGAACACAATAAAAAGGCCAAACCTAAGAATAATAGGAATAGAAGAAGGAGAAGAGTCACAGCTCAAAGGCCAGGAAATATTTTTAACAAAATTATGGAAGAAAACTTTCCCAACATAAAGAAAGATATTCCTTTGAATATTCAAGAAGCATACAGAACACCAAACAGACTGGATCAAAGAAAAACATCCCCTCGCCATATAATAATCAAAACACAAAATATAAAGATTAAAGAAAGAATATTAAGAGCTGCAAAGGAAAAAGGCCAAGTAACTTATAAAGGTAAACCAATCAGACTTATACCTGAATTCTCTATGGAAACCATGAAAGCCAGAAGGTCCTGGATAGAGGTACTGCAAAAACTAAGAGACCACGGATGCAAACACAAACTACTATACCCAGCCAAGCTATTGTTCACTATCAATGGAGAAAACAAGACATTCCAGTATAAGAACAAATTTGAACAATACGTAGCCACAAATCCAGCCCTACAGAAAGTAATAGAAGGAAAATTGCAACCCAAGGAATCCAACATTGCCAACACTGCCTACAATAACTCAGGCATCTAGTGACCCTTCACCAGCACAACTCAAAGAAGGGGGACACACAAACTCTACTACCAAAAACAGTAAGAATAACCGGAGTAAACAACCACTGATCATTAATATCACTTAATATTAATGATCTCAATTCACCTATAAAAAGGCACAGGCTAAGAGATTGGATACAAAAACAGGATCCAACATTCTGCTGTTTGCAAGAAACACATCTCAACCACAAAGACAAGCATCTACTCAGAGTAAAGGGTTGGGAAAAGGTATTTCAAGCAAATGGTCCTAAGAAAAAAACAGATGTGGCCATACTAATTTCTAACAAAACTGACTTCAAACTAAAATCAATCAGAAGAGATCGAGATGGACACTTTATACTCATAACAGGAACAATTCATCAGGATGAAGTCTCAATCCTGAATATCTACACCCCTAATATAAAAGCACCCACTTATGTAAAAGAAATATTACTAGAACTCAAGGCAGACATCAAACCACGCACACTAGTAGTAGGAGACTTCAACACACCCCTCTCTCCAATGGTCAAACTTTATTACAGAGCTACAGTATTGAAAACCGCTTGGTATTGGCACAAAAACAGAGAAGTCGACCAATTGGAATCGAATAGAAGACCCTGACTTTAACCCACAAACCTATGAACACCTGATCTTCGATAAAGGAGCTAAAAGTATACAATGGAAAAAAGAGAGCATCTTCAACAAATTGTGCTGGCAAAACTGGATGTCAACCTGTAGAAGAATGAAAATAGATCCATATCTATTACCATGCACAAAACTCAAGTCCAAATGGATTAAAGACCTCAATATCAGTCTGAACACACTGAACCTGATAGAAGAGAAAGTGGGAAGTACTCTACAACACATGGGCACAGGAGACCACTTCCTATGTATAACCCCAGCAGCACAGACATTAAGGGCCTCATTGAATAAAAGGGACCTTCTGAGACTAAGAAGCTTCTGTAAAGCAAAGGACACTGTCACTAAGACACACAGGCAACCCATTGACTGGGAGAAGATCTTCACC